CCTACAAATAACTATTATTACTCTTATAATAGAATTGTGTTATAGCTGGTACATTGCTAAAAGTCACATTTACAGGCCATTTCACATAGAAGTAGAATGCAGTTGCTGCCGTCAAAGATGAAAGTTTAGGATTATTAATCCAAGAACGAGACGTCTTGGGCCTGGCCCTTCGTGTCTCCAGGGAGGGCACTGGTCACATCAGTCTTAGGTGAGTCACTTAGTCAAGCTAAGATTCATTTTCTTTGTCTGTGAAAGGGAAGAATGACTCCCTTGTAAGATTTATTCTGGGGTTAGAGACAAGGACAGGGTCCCCGGCACTGTGCGCTGACATGGGTCCTGCACCTGGATCTTTCTCCTCGCTGTCTCTCATCTTGCTGTTAACGGGTGGCTCCGTGCTTGCGTTTACTCAGCGGGCAGGAGGGGTCCAACTGAAGGGGGATTGCAGGATAAAGAACATCAAGTAGTCATGCTCTTGAAGCGAAGATATTACATAACCAATTTCTTTTTAAGGGGGAACCTATGACTTGGGGTCAGAGAGTGCATAGGACTTTTCTTTGACAGAAATGGTTTTCTGGGACCACAGGGGAAACAACTATGCTGTTTAGAACACTCTTCTGTAATTCGAGTCATGGCACTGTGTAGTTATTGCTCCCAAAGGCAGTGCCTGCTGCTGGCTTTGTAGCCTGGGGGCCCGGGAGCCCAGCTGGTGAGCTCAGAGTTGGGGGGAGGGGGTCCCGTCCCAGTGCCTGAGCCTGCTTCACGGTGTGGGAGATGGACCAGGAAGGTTCGTCCACGGCTGTGGAGGCGACAAGTACATACTTTGTAAAAATAAGCTATTTAGGGCATTGGTTCATGTCTTTGTGAGGGAAATTTCGTTAGAAAGGCAGATAAAATTCCAAAAATAGAGCTTGCATAGTAAGTAAACATTTTTAAAAGTGGGAGGTGCTGGCCCGGTGGCACAGCGGTTAAGTGCGTGCGCTCCACTTCAGAGGCCTGGAGGTCGCAGATTCGGATTCTGGGCGCGCACCGACCCACCGCTTGTCAAGCGACAGTGCAGCAGCGTCCCATATAAAGTAGAGGAAGATGGGCAAGGATGTCAGCCTAGGGCCAGTCTTCCTCAGCAAAAATAAATAGAAAAAAGTGGGAGCTTCTCCCTGTAACCAACTAGAGTGCTCTCTTTTAAGCTTGTTTCCCACAAAGCCCCACACCAAAACCACAACCTGGAAAGCCCATCGATATAAAGAGATATTAAGTGTACACCTTATTCATCTTGTGTTCGAAAGTCTTGCCATTCTTTTCAGGCCTCTCAATGGAAGAGGACATTTGTACAAACATCTGCATTTCATTCCCAGTGTTAATTTGTAAATTTTATTTTAAAAATTTTATCATGGTAGGAAAACTTAATATGAGATCTACCCTCTCAGTAAGTTTTTAAGTGTACAACACAGTACTGTTAGCTATGGGCACGGTGTTGTGCAGCAGGTCTCTAGAACTTACTCATCGTGCATGGCTGAAATTTTATACCCGTTGATCAGCAACTGCTCATTTCCCCTCTCCTCAGCCCCTGGCAACCACCATTCTGTTTCTTCCTTCTATGAGTTTGACTATTTTAGATGCTTCAGATAAGTGGAATCCTGCAGTATTTGTCCTTCTGTGTCCCAATCACAAATTTTTTAAGAATTATATTTTTCCTGATAGTATAATACACAATCACTGAAGAAAAGTTAGAAAATACTAAAAAGGAGAAGGAAGAAAACAATCCCACGTCACAGAGGAAAGCTTTGATCACAGTTTGGTAAGTCCTAAGATTGCCCACCTTGTGGTATTACCCTACGCCAAACCCCTCGACGCTTCTCCATTGCAGCCCTCCTCACACCTCTCAGGCTCCGAGCTTCCCGGTCCCACAGGCGTCTCTTCCTTGCCCGGCAGCAAGCTCCTTCTCTGGCCAGGCCTCTGCACATACGGTGTGCGTCCTCAGCCAGAAAAGCAGTCCCTGTTCCCTAAGGAACTCTGCTCATCCTTCAGATTGTAGCTTAATCATCACACCTACACAGAAGTCTCCGCTGATCCTCCCAGCCACCCCAACACCCACCCAAACATACATAGTTTACTCTGCTATACCCTCTCATTGTACCTTGAACTTTCCCTCTAGAGCACCTGGCCAAGGATGTAGGCATGTGCCCTATTTGTTTAACGTCTATCTCGCACGCAGACATGGTCCCCCAAGAGGGGGACTCTGTGCCTGTTTTGCTCCCCAGCTTATCCACAGCACAAGTACCATGTCTGACCTACAGTCAATGGACCAATATATACAGATTTACCTCATGCATGTGAGCAGCTTTACAAATCTTGAACCATATTTCTGATTATTGTTTGAGAGTAAGTTTCCAGACATGTGCATTGGTTTGCTAGGGCCACCATAACAAAATACCACAGACTGGGCAGCTCAAACTACAGAAATTTATCTTCTCACGGTTCTGGAAGTCCAAAATCAAGGTGTCAGCAAGTTTGGCTTCTCCTGAGGCCTCTCTCTTTGGCTTGCAGATGGTTGTACTCTTGCTGTGTCCTCACGTGGTCTTTTCTCTGTGTGAGCACATCCCTGGTCTCTCTTTGTGTGTCCAAATTCCCAGTCAGAGGGCATTAGGGCCTGCCCAAATGGTAGCAGCTCATTTTAACTTAATCTTTAAAGGCCCTATCTCCAAATAAGGTCACATTCTGAGCTACTCAGTGTTAGGGCTTTAACATGTAGATTTTGAGGGAACACAATTCAGCCCATAACAATGTGCAACAGATGGATCCAAGGAGGGGAATATTTTAAGCCTCTTGACACATACTGCCAACGGCTTCCTGGGAAGGCCGTACACATTTATAATCCTATCAGCAAGGCATGACAGTACCGTCCCCCTGCACTCTTGCCAGTGCTGGTATCATTAAGAAATACTTTTTTTTGCTAACCTGAAAGGCAAAATTGTATGTTATTTCATTTTACATAATCTTTGACTACTAATAAGCATAAACAATTCTTACCGCTTGGTATTTCTTTTTCTTTCATTCTTCATACTTTTATTCATCCAATAGATATTTAACAAACCCATGCCATGAATAAGGCAAGGTGTTGTATCCTGGGATTCTAGCAGAGGATGAAACATGGCCTTGACATGATGGAGTGTACAGTCTAATGGAGAAGAGAGACACGTAACAAAATTACCCAATTATTGAGTACAGTCATGCTAAGTATCACAGAGGAGAAGTATGAGATCCCAGGAAAGCATTCAATGGGGATCTAGACCAATCAGGGGGAAGGAAAGGCTTTCTGGGGAAATGTGGTTTCCATGGTGATGAAGAGGCGAGGGGATAGGGTGGTGGGTGAGGTGGCAGACAGAGAGGACCATCTGTGGAAGGGCCTGTGCTGGGCAAGAGCAGGTGAGCTGAGGAACTGACTAAAGACCAGGGAGGCTGTGTCACTGAGGGGGTTGGGGGATAGGGGGACGATGAGGTGCAAAATGAAAAGTGATCAGGTATGGGTTTGTTGTTGTTTTAACTATTCTGGCTGCTGTGGGAACAATGAAATAAAGTGAGTAAGAGTGGCTATAGGGTATCTGCTATGAGGAGGCTGCTGCTGTAATCTGGGTAAAAGATAAGGGTGACTTTGACTAGGGTAGTAACAGTGGTGCTGGAAAACCAGCTGGAAAAAGGTGGATCATTTTGAGAGACACTTGAGAGGTGGGATCTGCTGAGTTGGCAATTGGATGTGGAGGGTGGCTCCTAAGATACTGGCCTGAGTAATTGGACGAATGGTGAGGTCATCTTCTGAGTTGGGGACACTTAAGGAGCAGGTTTAGGGAGGAGAGATGATGAGTTTGGATCTGGACACGTTAGGTCGGATGCCTATGGAATACCAAGAGAACCCGAGTGGGCAGAAGCTCAGAGGCAAGGTCTGGGCTAACAATATAAATGAGGAAATCAGATTATAGCTAGGAATTGAAGTCCAAGGATGAGATATTTAGGGAGACAGTGTAGAGTGAGAAAGTAAAGGAAGGGAAGGGAAACCAGTTTAGAACCTTGAGGAACCCCGACAGTTATGAGCAACTAGAAGAAGTGAGCAAAATGTCTAAAACATGGTGCCGAAAGATCAAAGGGAAACCAAGAGGGTGCGGGCGTAGAAGGCAAGGGGAAGACTTTCCAGAGGGGCCCTCTGGGCTCCAGGGTTGAATGCTGCTGTTGATTAAAGACCACAAAGTGCACAGAAGTTGGCAACATGGAAACTAGTATCCTGACCAAAATTAGCTGTGGATGCAGAAGCTGGATTGGAATGGGTTGGAGAGTGAGAGAAATTGAGAGAGCGAGTGTCACAGTTCTTTCAAGAAGTTTGGCTTCTCTGAACTGTCTGTCCATTGATCATGTTCCGAATGTGATTTTAACATTGTTGTCACTGTAGTACATGACCTCTGTGTTTGTCTGTATTATGTGAGATATACTTATTTATTTTTAGGATGCTTATTAAACATTAGTAACATGTAGCAAATATTTTAAAAGGGTTTTGGCTACCATTTGATTTGTTTATGTTGCTTTTTATGCACATTAGCTTCATTTGTATATAGGTAAATTAATTTTTTCCTTATGACTTCTTTCATTGCACTTTTGCTTAGAAATTCCTTCTCCATACAGAAATCACATAAATATTTACCTTTGTATTATTTCTTAAATATTTATGGCTTCATTAAAATTTTTTTGTGATCATTTTGGAATTTATTTTTACCTATCAATTTAAGGTGTGGAATGCTCCTCCTACTGGTGGGGCTGGTCATGGGATGTTCTACTTAATGTTTTAACCAACTGACTCTACCGTCTCATTGTAGGAGAAAGCTTCTACTCATCAAGAAAATAACATTTCAGTTCAACATGAGATTTATTTAGTTAGTAATTTATGGGTATTCTGTCTCTGAGCTAATATCGTACAGTCTCTTTATATTGTAAACATTTTTATTCTCTATTCCCAGTTTCCTGTGCTTCCCAGAATCACATCATCTGACAGCCATCCTAGAAGGCGTTCTCATGAGGACCAGGGATTTCAATGCCGTACCCACTTGCGGGCTTACAGAAAATGCTCAGGGGAAGGGTCATTCGGAGAGCCACTGGAATCAACAGGAAGATCCCATTCTAAAGTGCAGGCGTTTTCAGAGTCCTTTGAACAGCAACTGTGCTTTAGAACCAAACACTCTGTCTCTTTGGTATGTAACACAGTTATTGAATATTTCAGCCACTTCAGAAAGGGAAACCCAAAGGGCTCGCCCTCCCCAAGTTTGAGGAGGACAATCTGACTTCTTCCTTTACGGCTTGGTGATGAGATCTTTGAGAAACGGCACTCAGTTTTAGATAGCCCAGATGTGCATAGAATTTTTAATTACTATTTAATTATAAGAATAACTATTACTAATTATTTAATTATTTTCATTGAAGACATCTGGTGTAGGAAGAATTCCTGGAGGACCTTACATGGAATGTTTTTGTCACTGAGGTCCTCTAGTTCTCTGAGACTTGCATCACCCCTGAAATAAATACTTGTGACTCATTCTCCTTTCACTATTTGAAGAGAGAAAAACTGCCCCTACTGCTTCTGTCCTTTCATATCTAATCCAGCGGCGGGTATGATGGTGCTGTGTTCCCCTGTACTTTTAGAAAGGACCCAGAAGGAACTTTCTGGACACTATCTGGTAAGTATCCAGGAGCAGGAACAGCCTGGGCGCTCACAGTGGCCTCGTGGGAGTCTGAGTAAAGCACAATAGAGACGAGCATGAAATGGGGAAGGAATAGAAACTCCACTGATGATGCCCATCTTGATACTTAAAGTAATAAACTAGACATCAATTTGTTGGGGCCAGTTTTTCAACTCTGCACCACGCTCACTGAGTGCCTTTGAGCAAAATACTTCTTTTTTGTGAGTCTTGGGTTTTTCGTTTTACTTTGCAAAACGAGAATAATATGTTTCTGCCATGTAGTAGGCAGAACAAATAAGTGAACGTAGGTGTATTGCCCCCTGGGTCTTGAGCTATGTATGCTCTGTGAATGCACAGGGGAAGATGCTTGGTGCTTCCGACCTCATCGTCTGTCTGAGCACAGTGCTTTCTGCCTGGCACTGATGGCTGTTGGGACTGTCACCATGCACCCTTGCCTCATAGGTGGCACCTCACTTTTGTCAGAGCGACCCTGTGTATCTATGATTCCCTGTCAGTAGGCTGCTCTCTCCACCTGATCGTGACAGGAATAAGGAGGGACGAATAGGGAACACCTGTCACTTAATAGCTATACCTTATTAAGAGTTCCTGTTTCGTTTTTTCTTGATACTGTTTTTTAAAATATGGTTTCAGACTTAGAGCAATGTTGAGAGAATATTACAAAGAATACACTCTTCATCTTGACTCAGTCCAAATGTTAACGTGTTGTCATATTTACGTATATCCTCTCTCTCCTTCCCACCCTCAAACAAGGGCAGAAGAACATTCTCTGACATAAACACAGTACAATAATTTAACTCATGAAATTAACACCAATACAATACTTTCATATCTCATCTATTGACCTTATTCATATTCGGCCAGTTGTCCCAACAATATTCTTTATAGTGAGATTCCAGATCATGTGTAGCAACCAGTTTTCATGTCCCTCTAATCTATTTTATCCTGGAACATTCCTCAGTCTTCCTTGTCTTTCATGACGCTGGCATCTGAAGACTGCAGGCCAGTTATTTATTTATTTATTTATTTATTTATTTATTTATTTATTTAT